TTCCCTCTGTCTAGTATCGATTATGCTTGCGATTGCTTGTCCCTTCTGGACATGGTTCCATCATGTCGTGTTCCTCTAGTCGTTGTTCCCTCCTGGAGAATCTGTGGTCACTCTAAAGTAATCAAACTCCACTCTGTCTTATTCCATGCTGTTACATGATCATCACACTACTGTGACCCAACATCTCCTCTGTCAAGTGTGTACTACTAAACGTGAGAACGTTACCGTGTCTGTCTGTTCCGTCTGTCTGTTACCTCATGTCTTGTTCCTCTGACTATTCCGTCTGACTGTTTCCTCTGCTCTGTCCCTACTTGTCGTAGTTGCGCTCGCTGTCTGTTCACATGCCTTGATATCCTACTGCACCCAGGTTTTCGCTCTGTCTGTATAACACTGGACTGCTGTCTTTTCGCTTCGTTGTGCGGTTCTGCATTCTTCTCTCGGCTCCTGTTTCCTCTGTTCCTTGCACTGGACCTTTACTAGGTCCTGAGTGTTCCTCATGTTCCTGTTCCTGCTGGATCTGTTGTTTGTTCCCCTCTGTGTCCCTGTTCCTCTGTCTGTTCTCTTGACTGTATCCTCTGGTCTGTTTCCTTCTGTCTTGTTCCTCTGTCTGTTCCTCTGTCTGCTTACCTCTACTGTTTCCTCTGTTCCTCTGACTAGTTCCTCTTGAACTGTTTCCTCTGCCTGTTCCTCTGTCCTGTTCCTCTGACTGCTTCCTCTGACTGTTCCTCTGTGCTAGTCCCTCTGTCTGCCCTTCATGTATGTTCCTCTGACTGTTTCTCTCTGTTCTGTTCCTTCTGTTCCTCTTGTCTGTTCCTCTGTCTGTTTCCTCTGTCTGTTCCTCTGGGACTGTGTTTTCCTCGCTCGAGTGTGCCTCTAAACAGTAGTCACATCCTATATCTGTCGTGTCCTCTGTCTGTTATCGACTACTTGTCTGATGGCCTGGGCTGATGCCTGTGCAACCTCGGTCTGTGTTCCGTACTGACTGTTCACTGCTGCTTGCCAGTCTGGACTGTTCCTCTTCTGGGTATCTCTGACTGTTCCTGCTGTCTGTTCCTCTGTCTGTTCCTCATGGTCTGCTCCCTTCTGTCATGTTTCCTCTGTACTGTTCCTCTGACTGTTCCTCTGTCTGTCCCCTCTGTCTTACCCTCTGTCTGTCCCTCTGTCTGTTCCCTGTCTGTTTCCTTCTAGTCGGTGTTCAAATTTGGAACTGGTTCCATCTGACTGATCCTTCTGTGTCATGTTGTGTCTCTAACTCAGCACTGATGTTGATCTTCTTCACTGACGTGATTCCTCTCTGTTCTGGATTACACATCTGGATGTCTATCAACCCCTCCTGTCTGCTTCCTCTGTATCCTCTGACTGTTGTCCTTACTAGACTGATTTCCTCTTAAACTGGTGTCGCTTAACTAATTAAGTAGAATCCACGCTGTCAGAGTTTGCCTCTGTTCCTAACGTGTCTGTTCCTTCTAGTCCCCCTCTGACTGGTTCCATACACTAGCACTTCTCTACATATGTGACTGCATGGTTCCTCTGACTATGGTGAATAACATCGTGCTGACCTGCTTTCCCCTCTGGCGTAGTCCTTTTTTGTCCCATCCTGTTCCTCGTTCCTCCCTGACTTCCGATCCTTATGCTTATGAGACTGACTGTTATCCCTATCTTAGCCCATGTTTACACTTCTGACTCTGATTAATTCCTCTGACTGTTTACCTCTGCTGTTCCTGCCTGGTCTGTTCTCTGTCTAGTTCCTCTGACTGATTTCTACGTTCCTTG